ATAGTGGAGGATGGAGACAGAAAAAGTAAAATAGAGGGCCGGCCGAGTGGCTCAGTTGGTTAAGACCTCGCTCAAGAGTTTGAGCTCTGAGCAACAGCGGTTTGAGTCCAGCCCGAGCTGAGCAGCCGCTGAGCTGCCAACAGGTAGCAGGATGGCTCAGCTAANAAAAAAAAAAAAAAAAAAAAAAAAAAAAAAAGAAAGAAAAAGTAAAATAGATTCAAACATCCGAGATGTGATAAAAAAATACGGTGAATATTTAAATTAAAAAATATTACAGTAAAAGACATACCATGAATCCTTTTGAAAATATTCCCCCTCACTTCGAACACACTTATCCCATCATCCTTGCCACTTTCTGAAGCAGGTCTGGAAGTCCTCTTTTGTGACTGTCTTTAGTTGCACTATTGTGGCTGCCTTGATGTCCTGAATCAATTCAAAATGTTTTATTTTCATGGTCATTTTGACTTTAGGGAAGAGCCAGAAGTTGCACGGTGCCAGATCCGGTGAATAAGGTAGATGAGGACACACTGTAATGTTTTTATTTGACAGAAATTTCAGTACCAGAAGTGATGTGTGACAGGGAGTGTTGTCATGATAGAGGATGAAATAAAGACACTCATGCAAGAGGACTTCCAAAACTGCTTCAGAAAGTGGCAAGAAAGGTGGGATAAGTGTGTTCAAAGTGAGGGGGAGTATTTTGAGGGAGATTAATGGCAATGTGTCTTTTACTGTAATATTTTTTTTAATTTAAACATTCACTGTATCTTTTGATCACAACTCATAGGTGAAGAAATGGAGGTATGTCAACTAAGAGGAGGAATACAAGAGTCCTAAAGGGAGGTAGAGAAGCTGGAAAAAAAAGCTGGGTGAAAGGGAAGGCAGAAATTAAATAGGTTTTGTGTGAGTGTGTTCCTATCTCCCTCTTCTGCCCTTGGGCTATGGGCATCATAGTGGGTTATTGTGTCCTTTGAAAAATGTGATGGTGCTCTCTAGTAAAATTTGACACATGCTTTTCTTTTATGTTTCCCTTCTGATGAGCTGATTCTGCTCCACATTAATGCCAGATATTCCTTGCTTGATTTCTTTCCATTATTTCCTCCCGTTAGACTGCTTTTTCCTCTAATCAAAAAGCAGAGATCCTTTGAGTTAATAAAATAAACTGCTATGCCTCTCGTACCCATTCTCCCATATTTCAGATGGAAAGTTGCTGATAACCCAAATCATGCCTTCTGGTCGTCATGGTTTTGATCATTATTATAGGGCAAACCCCATTTCTACTGTAAGGATTTTGGCCCCCCAAAAAGTGTAGTTCTGACAGGACTTATGATAAGTGGAGATAGTTTATAACTGAACGGGTCAAACTAGGCCCTGTGGAGACAAGCAAGTTCCATGTGGAAATGACAGACCATCTGGCTGATGATCTTTATTCCAATGAAGATTTAAGGAGTACAATTAGCTGGGCCTCACTCTGGTCAGAACTGCTGGAACAGGGCAGTAATAGATTTGGCCTTATCTTGAAGTAGTGAGATGTATGGCTGCTTCCTAATACTCTCCACTAGGAGACGCTTGGCTGAGGCTGGAAGAGAAAACCAGCCTAATTTGTGAGACTGGTAGCTAGAAATTTGATTTTTATACATGCCCAAGAAAACAATTAGTCAAAGTCTATACCATGTTTCCTCGAAAATAAGACCTAACCGGAAAATAAACCCTAGCATGATTTTTCAGGATGCTTGTAATATAAGCCCTACCCCAAACATAAGCCCCAGTTCAGATTGTACCTGAGACATGACAGTTTGAGTAAATGTAGATTTTTGTACATGAATAAATGAATAAATGTAGATTGTTGGAGCAAAAATTAATGTTGGGTTGTCGGAAAAGTCATGATGAATTTTTGCAACGAAAAACATAGAAAAATACGTCATGACTTTTCCGACAACGCAATATAAGACCCGGTCTTATTTTCGGGGAAACACGGTAGCTACAGTGATTAGTCATGGACTGGAGATATATGGGTGTGGTGAAAAAATACGGTGAATGTTTAAAGAAAATTACAATAAAAGACACATTGCCATTAATCCCCCTCAGAATACTCCCTCTCACTTCGAACACACTTATCCTATCATTCTTGCAACTTTCTGAAGCAGTTCTGGAAGTCCTCTTAAGTGAGTGTCTTGAGTTGCGCTGTCGTTACTGCCTCGATGTCCTGAATGGATTCAAAATGTTTACCTTTCATGGTCATTTTGACTTTAGGGAAGAGCCAGAAATTGTACAGTGCCAGGTCTGGTGAATAAGATGGATGAGGACACACTGTAATGTTTTTATTTGATAGAAATTGCCATACCAGAGGTAATGTGTGATACGAAGCCTTTCCGTCATGATCAAGAAATAAGGTGAATGCTTCTATGGGGTACCACCCATGGGAAGGCAGGGATCTTCAATATGGGAAGCGGCATGCTGAACCTTAGTAGCAGTGTGTGACAAGTTTCAACTTACTTGGTGCAATCAGGTGTGAGCTACGGTTGAGGGAAAGTTTGTTTTAAAGTGTGCTGTAAATCATCCTCCATCATGATAATGCTTCATGTCACACATTCCTTCTGGTATATGGCAATTTCTGTCAAATATAAATAGAAAATTGACTTTGTGTGATGGACACACAATATGACATCTAGATGATATGTTACAGAATTATATACCTGAAACCTATATAACTTTACTAACCATTGTCACCACAATATACTTTAATTAAAAAAAATTACCATGTGTCCTTATCCACCTTATTCACCTGAACTGGCACTGTGCGACTTTTGGTTCTTCGCTGAAGTCAAAATGATTCAGGATATCGAGGCAGCCAGGACAGCACAACTAAAGACCCTCACGAAAGAGAACTTCCAGAACTGCTTCAGAAAGTGGCAAGAACGATGAGATAAGTGTGTTCAAAGCAAGGGTGAGTATTTTGAGGGGGATTAATGGCAATGTGTGTTTTACTGTAATATATTTTCAATTTAAACATTCACTGTATTGTTTGATCATACCTCATGTGCTCTAATGTAATGTAAAATTACAGACTGGCCTATAGCAGGGACAACAATCTGATGAAGGGAGATATGAATGAAACCAATGAAAGAAATTTAGCAATCCACGTAGGATATGCATAAGCTCATCAGAACGGAAAGACAGAATAATCTACTTAAACAAAAGAGGAGACAATTGGATCGCCCAAAACTCATGTAGACTCTGTAGACTCTGAAAGACAGAATAATCTACTTAAACAAAAGAGGAGACAATTGGATCCCCCAAAACTCATGTAGACTCTGTAGTCTTGGGCCTGCAAATCCCAAGTCACTTTTCTTGTCAGTTCAATTTAAGGTTGCAGAATTTGGCACATGAAACCTCAGGGCATATGAACATGAATGTCCTAGGTAAGCAGAAGGAGAAAGAGTGAAAGAAACAAACTATGAATCAAACAAACAAGCGGATAAGCAATATGAGATATGCTAAATTACTAAAAACTTGTATCCTCCACTAACTTTTTTTTATTAAAGTATAGCTGACATGCAATGTTATATTAGTTTCAGGTGTACAACATTGATTTGACATTTATATTCTTTATGATGTGGTCTCCACAATAAGTCTAGTAACCATCTGTCACCATACAACGTTATTACAATAATATTGACTATTTTCCCTATGCTCTACATTACATCTCTGACATTTTAACATATAACTCATTTTTTTAGATGTTTTATTTTGAAATAATGATAGATCCACAGGAACTTGCAAAGAACAGAGAGGTCTGGTATGCCCTTCTGGTGGGAATGTAAAAATGGTACAGCCATTCTGAAAAATAGTTTGTGAGTTTCTTGAAAAACTCACAAACTACACCTACCATATGACTCAGCAATTGCACTGGTAGGCATTTATCCCCAAGGAATGAAAACCTATGTCCACACAAAAACCTGTACATTATTATTTGTAACAGCTTTATTAGTAATAGCCCCAAATTGGAAATAACCAACATATCCTTCACTAGGTGAATGGTTAAACCAGGAGCGATACACCCATGCCATGGAGTACTAAGGAGCAATAGCAAGGAACAGAGTATTGATACATGCAACAACTTGGAAGATTCTGAAGGGTGTTATAACTCATTTTAAGGGGTGTGGAGAGTGGTAAACCTGACCAATGTGACAGGTTGATTATGTTGGGCCAATCCTTAGATTTTTCAACAAAGAATATTGCCTTACAGAAGTATAAACTTAGGAAGAGAGTTTGCAAAGCACACCAGACATACAGATGAGAATAATATGACCATGGCTTTAGACAAAGTTAGAGGAACTACATGCTAGATGTGGAATATTAACAGTAATGGGAAATGACCAAGAAAGTAATTTTATAACAGAAGTTGCCCAAAATCTGGCAAAAGACAGAGAATATGAGTGGATGTATCTTTCTCAATAGAGATGTTCAAGAAATATAGACAAACTACCTGTGTTCACTTTGTTCTCAAATCCTCTAAGAAGAGATAAAGACTATTACATGGAAAGTATGAGTAGTAGATCCTCGTGAAGTCAGCAAAAAAGGAAGAGCAATAGCTAGGGATACCCTTTCAACTTTATCCTATAGCCAGAACCTGTAGGATAGATGAAGACTCAAGGATATTAATATTTATATTTCTCTTTTCTATTATCAGGTCTGCTTTGCTGTGTTGTCTTGGCTGTGACAATCTGTCCGGTGGTTATTATAATAGCAAGCAGTCTACTACCAGTACAAACAAGAGCACCACATGTAAATTTTGAGGAGGTTCACCAAGTTTATCAAAAAGTGTTATAGGACCACTGACCTCATTCTGTACTTGATCATCATCATAATCACATCAACAACCTAATTTCTCAACCAACGAACCACAGAACTATTGCCAGCCCTACAGAATACATTGTCACCAAGAGCCCATTTGCTACAGCTTTTAGTATTATTTTATCTACCGAGAAGAGTATTGAGGCATGGAGGCTGTGTCAACTCCTGTACTACTTGGTAAACTTGTTGATTGTATAGCCCAGTTAATAAAAATAGCTGAAGCGATTACACAAATGATTTCACATGAACAAGTTCCTTGTGTAGAGCAAAATGATATGGCGGAACAGACAGAAGCAAATCCTTCTTATTCCGAGGAAGCCTTAGTACCAGACCTCCCTGACCTCTCAGACTTAGACTCAATACTTACACCAAGAGAAGATGAAGACCTAATGTTTGATATTGATCAAGCTATGTTAGATGCAGAAAACGTCTATGAAGATGCACACTCTGGTATAAATGACGACTTAAGTGGATAAGACCAAATTTGCTCACACCAGCATGTGAGAACTGATCATTTCTCTCTTTCAAATATTTTCTGATTTTTCAGAATATTAGCAGTATGATTTTTCTCCTAGTTCTGCACATTTTCATTACTAGTACGTTATAGAACAAGTAATATTTGATTTACTTTCAGCCAGAGGTTGGTCTCTTTACTTCTTTGCATTTATTTGAAAAGCTCTGACTTTAGCCATATGGTTCTTTCTTTACGTGTACTTGTTCTCCTGCTAAGATTCCTGATAACAGGAGCAAACAATGGCAAAGAAAAGAAACTCCTCACCTAACAATAGAGTGAAGACCTGATGAACTCTATCATATCTTGAGACCCAATTTCACTGTTCTTCAATGAATAGTAGACAAAAGAGAAATATCCTCCAGGATGGCATCATAGTGAATACATTCACATTAACAATATTGGGACATTTACTTAAGAAGATACAAATCCTTACTCAAAAAGGCCTCCGTACCAGGCCTTTAGGAAAGAATGTGTCAACCAAAGCATGCTATATCACACTAGGGGAAATAACTCTGAAAAAGCAGCATTTACCAGATAATAAAATTACAGAAAGGTTTTCAGATCACTTTTGCCAGGGAGAAACCTGTGAAAAAGCTGAGACACCAAGAAGTTGCAACGTGGACTGTTTCCTCAAATGCTGACCTACATTGCTGCTACTCTTCAATATTATTTCCCAAGTAGAAACAGCAAATTATACCAAATAACAGGAGAGAAGTACTAGTACTAGAAGGGCTAGACAAAGCCCTACAAGGAGTATTCACCAATGGAAAGTCAAACACGGTATAGTTTTAGAGATGATGGTTTTGCTGCAGCCGTGACAGAGAGATCCCAATTATTGAGAGATGAGGCAATATGAAAAAGTGTGGACTGGTATTTAGCTACAGAAATTCTACAGATACCTGAAGGAGAAAATGCAATAGTTAGAGGACCGCCATATCAAAACAGGGTCCAGGAAATTCACTGATCATACAAATTCCATGCCATCCAGTCCCCTCATTTCCATTTGGAAGAATAGTTACCCTTCAGACAAGCCCATGGACACTATGGTCCTCCTTCCTAGAGAACAAATGACCTCTTCATCTCACAACATAGGCAACAACTGGGTAAAGACATGCAAGTGTACCATTAGACAAAGTGGTGTATGCGAATTGTGAAGAAGTGACACGTAGAAGTCAATCCACACTGGAGAAGCCAGACTATACCAATACACATAGAGTCCTAAAGCATATTACAGTCAAAGGGATTAAAAGACATTCAATACAGATAACTTCAGAGCTAAGCAACATGAGGGGTGCTGCATCTAATACTGAGGTCTGCATACACAGATAATTAGCTACTTTTAAAGGTAAGTGGGGGAAATTATAGACTATATAACTAGGTTTTATTTGGATGAGCAGGAGCAGGAAAAATGTAAGTCAGTTTTGCCACTGAATTTCAGGATAAGTTTAACAAATTTAAGACAGAGACTACAGTATCAAGAAAAGCTACCACAGGCCCTGTTGAAAAGTCAGAACTTACTGAGCTACTCAAACATATTAGTATGAGAAAGTTCCACAATAGACTGCAATGTGGAAAGGTTGCTATAGTAGATGAAGATGCAGAAGATTTAGAGAGGGTGTACAGAGACACAAAGGGGAGACATAAAAGTTATATCATCAAGCAATTACTGTTGGTAATTATACGCCACACCACACTGCAGTTTGAGGGACTTTGCTGCTGTAATAACTGGACAAACTGTTACTTTTCTAGTGTAGGGGGCTCTAGATATACAGTATATCCAAAATGGCAAATAATAGATGTGGTGCAAAGGGACTATGCTCAATTAACCTATATAGTGCAGTGGAAAAGCAAGAATGTTTATCCCACTGTTCCAATAGTTGCAGTTGTACAAGGAAGATTAGTGATAACAGTTAAACAAGGACATCTATATGTGTAGCAGCCAAGAAGAAGAATAACAGAGGAATTGCGTAAGTTGATATAGAGTATATGCTTTTTAAAAAAAATAAGTTTAGTTTTTTATTAAAGCATAGTTGGCATACAATAGTATATTAATTTCAGGTGTACAACATAGTGATTTGACATTTATTTACCTTACAATGTAATCAGCATACTAAATCTAGTAATCATCTGTCACCATGCCAAGTTATTACAAAATTACTGACTCTATTCCCTCTGCTGTACAGTTTATCGCCATGGCCTATTTATTTTTTAACTGGAATCTTGTACCTCTTAATCCCCTTCACCTTTTCACCCATCCTCCCACCCTCAACCCCCTAGCAACCATCAGTTTGTTCTGTTTCTATGAGTCTTATTGTGTTCATTTGTTTTTTTCTGTTTTTTTTTTTTTTTAAGATTTTTATTGGGGAATTGGGGGGATGGGAACAGTGCTGAGGAATTGGGGGAAGGGGAACAGACAAGTTGCATTCATTTTGTTTTTCATTCTAGTTGTGGAGGACGTTGCTTCACTGGCCCAAGTTGCCACCATCATTGCGCTCTTCCCCGGGCAAGGCAGGTCAGTCGCTGGCTTCTTTTTTTGTGTGTTTTGTTTTGTTTGTTTGTTTGTTTTGTTTTTAGCTGAGCCATCCTGCTACCTGTTGGCTGCTCAGCTCGGGCTGGACTCGAACTGCTGTTGCTCAGAGCTCAAACTCTTGAGCAAGGTCTTAACCAACTGAGTCACTCGGCCAGCCCTAGTTGCCGGCTTCTGGATGGCTGCTCACTGCTGCTGCTGGCCGCTCACACTGGCTGCTGGCTACATACGGTAGCCCATGGCAATGCACTGCTACAGGGGCTGCAGCCTACGCTGTCGCCGGTGACTCATGGCAGCCCAGCTCCAGGTTGAGCTGTTGTTCAGCATCTTAGCTGTAGAGGGCAGTGTCACTGGCCCTCATATGTGGGATCCGAACCGGGGCCCTCTGGCGTCCCAAGCCAGTTCTTACCATCGCGTGACTCGGCCGGCCCTGTTTTGTTTTGTTTTGTTTTGTTTATAGATTCCACATATAAGTGAAATCATACAGTATTTGTTTTTCTCGGTCTGGGTTATTTCACTTAGTACAATACCCTCAATGCTTTAATTAAAGGTTTAGAAAATCCCAGGGAAGATGTAAACTCTCCACTAGGAATTTGGACTTTAGGAAATTGGGCTATAATTTTGTATCAAAGTAAATAAAACTCAAAGGATAAATAAATGGGCAAGATCAGGAAGCACCTCCAAGGAGAGACCACAAGTCTGCTATAAATTCTATTTGGTGAGCAGTCTAAACTGACAGATCTGGTGCTCCTCAAAAATTAGAGATACTGAAGGGTAGCTATTACTCCAATTAGAACTCTGGAATATGGAATTGATAAAAATTCTACTACAGAGGATTGTGAGCTTGTTAAAACGGTTAGCATTAATGAGAATACAAGCAACCATACTAACTCAAGCAGGCCATCCAAAAACACCAAGAGGAATCTGTGAGACTACTCCATACCTTGAAACAAGATAAAGCTTGAACCAGCCCATAAAACAACTAATGGTCGACCTGGTCCTCAGGGATCAAAGCAGGAAGATGCCACAACATTGTAATATGTGGAGCTGGATAGCCGCTTGGCTAAAAGGGTCACCTGGAAAGATTGTACTATAATGGCATCTCAGGATTAGATAAAACGCATTGCAGTGTTTGCTTTGATTGTGTGACTATGTGTGCTTAAGAATTGTTAAGATGTAACCCTACTCCAAGCAATTTTGTATTAAGTATGTTTGCTGTATTGGAATAGGATTAGGTAGAGGTAATAGTGATAAGAAATAAGTTTAGGAAATAAGAAAAATACTTAGGAACAAGAATTAGTAGGGAAGGTATTTTCAGAAGAGAGAAGAAAAGTAATAAGTTGGCAACAGTTATGCAGCTCTTTATGGTGGAAAGCCATGGTATAGAGTTAGTTTCTATGCAGGTTTATGAACCTAGCCCTATTTTTGTCATATGCATTTTAGCCAACCCTAAGTTGTTGATACAGAAATAGTTGGTTGGCAGTTGACACAAGTCATGTACTTAAAAGCTCAATTAGAAGGAGATATATTAACTAACTTGGCAGTCCACTGATTAGATACCTCTGGTTGGAATCCTGCATCTCTCCTCTAGGAAAATGGAACTACTGTGTCATTTATCCATACTGTCTCTTTTCTGGATCTTGACACCAACACCAAAGCCAGCCCTTGTATGTCATGGAGGGATAGAGAGGGAGACAGGCTTATCATTCTGAGACAAAGGCGTGAAAACCAAGAGAGATAAGCTGGTAGATGGCAGCGCATTAGAAAGCACACGTTTTTGTCCTGTGTACTTGGATAGTGTGTGGGAAGTTATGCTTATACAGTTGCGTCTTTATTTGTGATGATTACTGCCAGTTATTAGATTATAATTAAGTATAATCCTTATTAGCTATTGAATCACACCATTTTATTGTTATGTGTTTTATCAGATTTTAACTAATAAACTATCATTCAACAATCAAAGAACTTGGGGTCATCTTAAATTACCTGGTGGAGGATTTGGAAGCTACCAAACAGGCAGAAGAGAACCCCATTAAACAGAAGGTGGAGAAGACTCAGAATTTTGTACCAGGAGTCTGAAGTTCTATTTTTGGCTTTGTCAGATAACCTTGAACAAATCTCTGAAATATAGTCTTTTCTTGCTTGTAAAATGAGAGTTATAATAATTTTTCTGCCTACTCTCAATAGTAATGAGGACCAAATAAAATGAGTTTTCAATGCCTTTGGTATGATACATCTAACAATGGGACAGAATATATGAAATTATGGCTTTTTAGGAATATCTGAAAAATGTATATATGACAATACTTGCAAGTCTATGTGACATGTGAAGATTATCCAGTAATTTTATACCTGTTTTATTAGAAATTAGCACTTTTTAAATTTACTCCATGTGGGGCCAGCTGAGTGGCTCAGTTGGTTAAGAGCTCGCTCAA